ATAATGTCGATGTCTAAGGATGATGGTATTTCCAGGGCTCTAGGAACCAGTGTAATCAGGTTTCAATCAGGAACTCATCATTCAGAGAGAGAAAATTAATTCGGGATGGGAAGCAGGAAGGGAGTCAAAGCACAGGCAGAATTCCAAATCTTTTAGGATGAATCTATTCTCCTTGGGGAGGCAGACCCTGCAACACCCTCACTCAATGCTGATTGCCACAGCACATGGGCCGGAAGTTCCCCAATAATCTATGAAAAGAGACACCACTTCATGCCACTGAACAGTCCTTGAAGATACTCTGTCTTCCAACACCTGCTTAAACTAACACTGTTTGAGACCTCCTTGGCCTAATAATTTCCAGAGAAACAACCAGGCCAAGAGGGTGACAAAAAGTTCCTGAGTTCCCTAAAGCATGCGTCTGCAGCTGACTCTCCATCTTAGGACACCAGGGATCTAGTCTGCCAGGGCTTATTGTGTGATGGGAAAGAAGATATTTTTCAATTTCCAGCTTTTCACACATCTCTGTTACTATAAAGTGCCATATCTTGAAAAAGAGAAAAATCTCACAGTTATTCATTTAATTATTTGCATAATTGACATTTCTAAGTACTATCTCAGTTGGAAAGATGTTCATAGAAGATAAAGACTACCTCAGTTAGAGTTAGGAGAAACAAATTCTGGTGTTCTATTGTACAGTAAGGTGACCATAGAGGACAATAACATGCTGTGTATTTCAAAAAGCTAGAAGAAAGGATTCTGAAAGTTTTCAGCACAATGAAAAATGCCTTGAATATTAAACATTGGTTCAACATGTGACAACACATCACGTATTACCTCGTAAACATGTAATTTTTATGTCAATTTAAAAAATAAAAAATACATAGCCTCCTGGAATGGGGTACACAGAGAAATATGGTCATAGCAGAATGAAATCTACTTTCCTCACCACATTCCTAATCTTTACAAACTTAAGCCCAAATACAGCAAAACAGAACAGTCACAGTGGGGTGGGGGAGAGGAGTGAGCATGGGCTCAGGCATTCAAAGTCAAACACTTGAAGTTTAAAGTGGATATCCATGAAAAAGAATTATCCAGTTTGCCAATAAATATTCCACATGTAATGTTTTGAGGAAGGAAGGAAGGGAGGGAAGGAGGAAAAAAGGGCAAAATCAAACTTAGAATCATGAAGAATATATGACTAGTACTTGGATTGTGGTACCATGGATATTTGCATAGATCTAAACTCATCCAATGGGATACATACAAATGTTCGGTTTTATATAATAGGCCTCAATAAAGATTTTTTTTTTCTTTTTAAAAAAGAAAGACAGGGCCGGGGATTTAGCTCAGTGGTGCCGCCGCCTGCCTTGCAAGCGCAAGGACCTGAGTTCGATCCCTGGTACAAAAACAGAAACAAAAACAAAACAAAACAAAAGACATATCTAAGTCTTTCCCAACTGCAAGGCTGCCTTCAGAAGGAAAGGAATTATTGAAACACTCCATGTCCACTTCATTCTCTGAAACAATTCCTGTTAATGACTGATTTTTTTCCAAACATGAGTAGAATTTTAATTTATTTGTTTATGTTCATATGAAGCTTCTCCTTTGATGTTTTATATCTCTGGATCAGCATAGCATTTCTGTTTGTTTAGAAGAGATACATATCACTTTTCTTTTTATATCACACACAGTAACCGACAGACAACTGAGCAGAATCTTATTACCCAGCAGTGCAATTGTAACAGATGGAATAAGTACATATAAAACAATCAGAGGACTGTTAGTGACAGTCAATCACTCTCAAGCTTATAGAATTAATTTCTAGGTGAAGTTACAATTAATTACAACAAAACCATTTTATAATTTCTATCTTTATTTATCTATTTATTTGCAGTACCGGAGATGGAACTCCGGACCTAATGCCTACAAGGCAGGTGCAAGAATCCCTGGCCATATAATTTTTATCTTTAAATAGCCCTTGAAGTAAAGAAGTCAGGTATGGACTGTATAAGGAATGAAATGCAAGCAGAAATTGAAAAATTAATTTATTATATGATGAAACATAAACAATACTTGAGTCAGTGACTCACAAAAGCAGTCCACAACAGCTCACATCCACAATGAAATGGCTGAGAAGTACTGGCACAGATGTTCTAAGGTGGTTTCCAAGGAAATGCTGCAGTTGACAATCGATCTCAATGCATATTTTCCCATTTACAAGGCTAAAAAGATTACAATCACATTTAATTAATGCCGTGAATCAGCCATTTAAATTGTAAAGCACAGTTATTAAAGATGCTGTTACATTCTTCATGAAAGACAGTACCACAACGATAAATTCATTTTCCATCAGAAGCACCTTCTCAGATTCAGTGGGTCTTTTCCTTCAAGTAACATGGATTTGGGTGCTAAATTTTACATACAACTGGAGGTAAGATTAAGGGCAACTGCTGAGAAAGCTAAAGGCCCACATGGTCACTCCAGACACTCATGTGGATGATGATACTTCTATTCAAAGAGTTAAAAAAAAATCTGCTTATGGATTTGAATAACATAACTCTATGTGTGGCACTTTAAAAATGTTTTCAAAGCATTTTCATACCTATTATCTAATTTGATCTTTCTGACAACCCTTGAGGTAGGCTGAACAAGTGTATCACTGTAATTTAGTAAGAAAACGGAGGCATAAAGCATTTAAGTAACTTGTGGGGCTTAAATGGGAGATGCCAATCTCTAATAATAGGCTCTGTCCAGTAATGACAAAAGAAAGTTGAACATTTTTGATGATTTTTTTTTTTGGCTTTTTGTGACAGCATCTCACTATGTAGTTGAGACTGACCTGGAGCTCACTATGTAGCCCTGGCTGGTCTCGAACTCACAGCCATCCTCCTGCCTCAGCCTCCCAAGTGCTGCGATTACAGGTGTGCGCCACCACGCCCAGCATGTTTGTTGATCTTATTACAATATATTGTGAGGAACAATTTTACCCCCATGAAACAAATGATAGTGATTCAGTTGCAGCAGCTGTTATGACAAGTTATGGCATGTGAATAATTAGACAAAGCACTAAAAATTTTAAAAATTCAAATTATAACTAAAAAACATATCTTAATTCCTAAGATGTGGAAATTTGCTGGTTTATGTCTTTAGGAAACCTAGCTTCACAGTATGAATTGTAATTTTGCCATTTCCGACAAAAATAATTTTTAAATAAGAAAATTTCAGTTTAACCTGACTTGCATTTGTACCATGAAGAAAAAAAGCAATGATTTCTCTCCCCTAAAGTGAACTGACACACATGTTCTTAAAATTAGGTTACGTGTTTCCCATGAGTTGAAACTACCAAAAATGTCCAGTTTAATTACCAAATCTCTGTCCATATAAATTTGAGAACTACACTTTGGGTATCTGACAAACTATCACTGCTACGTTCATTTTAGGTTCACTTAAAATGCTTACTTATCTTCTAAATTAAAGTGTCTTCTAATGTATTTGAAAATTAAGATTTTGTAGGGAATTTTAAGACAGGCTTCCAAAACCAAGGCCAGAAAATACAAGTCTCTCCATCTTTTATCAAATTCTGAATGCGCCTCATCATTGACAAGCTGGTGGCTATCCCCAGTCCTCACTGGCAAGGCATGACCTGAAGCCATTTCAGATGGAAAAGGGGCACCACTACCCCTATCATCAGTCACTGAAAAGCTTCAAGGTGAGAATATCTTTCTCATAAGAAAATGTGAAACTATCTTATGTCAATTAACACAGTGAGCTGATCTGATATAAGGAAACAATTCAAATGATTTAAGAATGGTCTTACTGTTCTGCTAATCATTATAGAACCCTTTTGTTAACTAGGAAATAACCCCAAATGGTGTGTTAACATCTTAGCATTATTTTACTTGTAGTTGTTATATATTTGCAAAGTTGTTTTGCTCTGTTACAATTGTGTATCTATGCTCTTGAAAAGTACATGGAAGTGTGCCTTGTATGAATTATCTTTTTAATTACATATGCTCACTGTTTATCTATAGCAATTAAAAACAGGGCAATTGGTCATCAATGAACTCAGAGGGAAAACACAATCTTGAGTTTTATTCTTATTTCATTAAAAATAGACTAAAAAAGATCTTTTGTTTGGGCATTCTTGCAAAATTAAACCACAAATATTGATAAAGCAAGAAAATTTCAAATGAGGAAAAAATTCCCATAAAACAAAAATTGAGGTGCCATAGTTAAAAGATATGAATGATATTTGGAACAGTATTAAAATATTAAGTAACATGGATGCCCCGTGGAAGAATATTTACTATTTTACACATAGATCCCTGAATGTAGTGGAAATTGATAACTAAACTGTATCTTCATCCATGTGCATAAAATTGCTTATAAAATTGACAGCACAAAATAATTTAAAAGAAAAATTATCAGAAGTGTGATTGTCAAATAAATGTTTTATAGGGTCACAAAGTCAGAGAAGTGGACCCCTATTCCATCTAGTAAAGTCCATAAATAGAGTCCTCTTTGTAACTTTGTCAGATTTAACTATAGTTCTCATTCTAAATTAATGTGTTCTTTATGGTTCTTTGTTTTCAGGTATTTCATTAACAAGATTTTAGTGGTAGAAATAAATGGTACAAGTTCCAGGCACTTTTACAAGACAATTGAGAATGTGCTACCCACTCTTCTTTAATGAAACAAACAGAATTTCAGAGCAAAGGAAAAATTATACAGACAATAAAATGGTGTAGGAGAATAAAACTGGAGGCTTGGTTGAAATTAATTCACAATTATATGAAATCGAGATACTTTCTACGAAAGACAAAAACCTGGTGACTTCATCTCTTTCTAAAATTTGAAAAGTCAGGGACAAGGGAAAAAAATGAGAACCAAGTCCTGTCATGTATAGGTACAAGATCCCAACAATGAATGTAACTGTATGTATCCCTAAAAATGTACCAATAAACTCAATTAAAAAGAAAAAGAAAAGTCAACAACTGGGGTTTATGGTGAAAAAAACACTTTTTCTTCAAATAAATGAAAATTAAAATGCCCTATATCCTTGCATTTGGTGAGAAACTTTTGTAGGATTTCCTATAAAAACTTAACTGAGATAACTCTCATTTAAATTTTTTTTGGCAGGTGTCAGGGGGAGGCAGGTGTTAAGACGATAGTTTTATTTTTATCTTTCTTAAGGAGGTAAAACCCAGTAAATTCTACTATAAATTCCATGGAATTGTAGGATACAAGTGAATTGTAAGTGCGTTGAAGCCTACCTTCTAGCAGATTCCTACCTTTAAAAATTCTGAGAAGATAAGAATTCTACTTATACAAACCTCTATCATTCTCATGTTTCAGCAACACTCCTGACCCACAATTTCTTCAACATGTAGAAGGAAAACAACTTCCCCCAAATTCTAAGGCTTCCATAACCAAATTTAGAATTCAATTTTGCAGCTATGGATACTAGGGAATAAAGTTTCCAAATGTAGTCTCTTGAGTCAATTACAGAGAGCATGTCACAAAGGCTATAGTTGGTTATGTACAAAAAGCCCCAGTGAGATTAAATGGAACACATCTCTATTCAAAAACCAAACCTGAACAGCCCTCCCTATAAGGTATGTTAGGAATGATGTTGCTGATGACAAAACCCCAGTTACCTTCTCTGGTCATCAGGATGGCTCGTGGGTGAAAACCTGGTTGAGGGGTAATAAATCATTAGGCTACCCAGACCAACAGTCCAGAAAACTAGAAAACAGGCCCCTCTCCTCATTCCACCCAATAGATGTATCCAGCCCAATTCAGACTTCAGGGGCACTTTGTCAGTGAACCAGCCAGTAAGGCGTGCAAGAACATAACATGGTCACCTGTGAACTGTGATGCCTCAAGCTGCCCCTTCAACACTCAGGCCTTGCTGGCTTCTCCCCATAGTTCCCACACACCTAAGAGCTCTATAAAGAGCAGCAGCTCACAAGGAGTTGACAGCTAACTTTCTGCCTTGCTCCCTTACTTGTATGAAGAACGGGTATCAACTCAGAAAACACCATGCTCGTGCCCTGAGAGATTTCAGGTCCCATTAAACAGAACACAGATCATTAGCACTCATCTGAGTGGGATCAGGGCTTATTTTACTGGTAGAAGGTGTCTCTTCTTGGTCTTGGCAAGATGTTAGGTCTGCCTTTCCTGATTCACAGGATTTCTGCTGCCTGCAGGCCCAGCAGAAACACCTGAGCCACGCCTGAAAGCTTTCGGAAACACTGGAGGAGAAAAGCTTTTTACAAGGGTGAAAGAACTGGTAGAACACAAGCATGAATAGAACAGCGGTGCAGTACCCAACAAGCAACTGCAGAATCAACAGAGGCGCACACACGTACATATAGATATCAGTCTTGAAAAGATACCATAGGAGCAGGAGGACAGCATTCTCTACGAATCTTGTCATATAGTACACCAGTAGCCGGTACCAGTTCTGGGACTTGCTGATGAGGTCAGGGTTGCTGATTTTCAGCTGTACAGCTGACCAGCAGAACATGTTGATACCAGCATAGAGTAAAGTGAGGAAGCACAGCACAATGGCAGTGCCTACCCGACTGAGGGCCTTCTCTATGTTCTCAGGAAATGGGGAGCCACTGCACCAGAAGATGATCCAGGGATACAAGAAGAAGCTGCAAAAGTTGACAAGAATTACAACCACCACCCAGGTCTTCATGATGGAGGTAAAGAGGACCAGGACGATGACTCGAGTAGCAATCTCAAAGCTCCTCCACAGGAAGATACAGACATAGGCCAGTGGCTTCACTTTGACTTCATACTCATCGTACTTGATTTTGATGGCTAGGATGTTGCAGCGCAAGGCTCCGTAAACAATGGACAACAGGGACAAGGTCATTAAGAAGCCTGGAGAGAGAAGAGAAAGAGCACTGTCAAATCTCGCCTCTACCAGGAACCGTACTGCAGCAGACATTCTGTCAGTCTCCTGTCCATAATCCTTGAACTCATTTGTTTTTCATTTACAAAGGTTGACATCCAGCTGTCAATACCTGCATACTATGCCTAAGGACTTTTTCAGAAGGCTGCTCTGCCTACATTCCTGGCAGGATGAAGTGCCAAGGGAATTAATACCCCCAGAGAGCCCTCAATACTCCAATTCCGTCCTTGATAATATCTGGAATATAAATACCCCAAGTTCCCTATTCTTTGGGTAAAATGACTCTGAGGCATGTGTTTTATACCATTTCCCAGTAATTCCTCCTAGGATTAACTGCTAGCCACACACTGTGATAATCTGTTAGATAATGCTTCCTTTTATTGGCTGTCCTCCTTTTCCTATCTTATTTTTCTTCTTCCGTGGTCTTTACCTCTTCCCTTCAAAATACATGGACTCAAAGCCTTCTCTCAGGGCCTGTTTCAGAGGCAACTCAAATTAAAACACTCTCCTGACCCCATCTTGCTCTGGATGAATATGCTGAGTCCTGTGTAGTTGGTCTATAAGTTTCTGGGGAGTCAAGACCAGCCATGTCTGATATTTCCTCTTGATGTCTGTCAACACAGCAGTAGAAGGTACATAAACAAATGGCACTCAACAATAAATTGATCAGTATGTCAGTATGTTCTTTTTTAAAGTAGGCACTTTTACACTTATAGACTGACTATAGAATGTTCACCCTGATTGTGTTCTTAAATTCTTCAGAGAGCTGAAGAAATCAGAAACTGTTACTGAGAGCCTATTTTGGCCAAAAGGCTTTAGCGTTTCAAGAAGTTTTAACTCTAGCTCTTTATTTCTTAAAATGACTTATGGATAATGAGTTGATCTAGTAAGTATAAGTAGTGTATAAGCATATGTATGTATAAATTCAGGGAGACAAGATACAGCCCACTTAAATGAATCATGGTATTATGTCCCAGAGCACAACACTTTTGACCTTGAGTTCTATTAGGTAAGAAATATACAGTGGTGCCTTGGTTCACAAACTTAATTTGTTCTTCGATTCTGGAAAAGATGGCCACATTTGTGTTTGTGTGGGAAAAATGGTGGTAGTCATGTTTTCACCTGATGCAGTTGCAAACAAAAGTAAAAATCTGTCAAATGCTTCTAAATGTGAACCAAATTGTTTGCAAAGAAAAGTGTTTGGGAACCGAGCTACTACTGTACTGCCAACCTATGAGTAAAGACTGGTCAAAGCAAATAAAATCACTCACTACTGGCTTCTACCACTTCTACACAATGGCACGAAGAGAGATTTGAGACAGGGCTTTGAGTTCGGAACTAAATGTATGAATCTTGCTGTGGTTTGACTTTTGCCAACCCTGTCTACTTTGGCAAAATGCCAACTTCCTGGACTGTTTTCTCACCCAGAAAATTGGAACAATAACAGAGTAATTATAGCTAGCTAATTAATATATCATGACCTCACATGGTTACCACATTGTGTGGTGAGAACACCTATGACATACTCCCCTCAGCAAATTTCAAGTATACAATTCACTGTCACTAACTGTAGTCACCATGCTATACTTTAGGTCATAGAAGCTATTCATCCTGCCTAACTGAAATTTTGCATCTTTTTGATAATCATTTTCCCATTTCACCAATCCCTGAATCCCCTGGTAACCAACATTTTATTTTCATGAATTCTGCTGTTTTTGATTCCATAGATAAGAGAAACCATACAGTATTTTTCCTTCTGTGGCTAGTTTATTTCACTCAGTGTAATATCCCTGTGTTCGTTCACGCTGTTTCAGATGGCAGGATTTGTTACCTTTAAAAGGTCACATTGTATTCCATCCTAATAGGTGTATCTTTATATTTCCCCAATGACATATAATGTGGTGAATCTTTTTAAATGCTTATTTTCTACCTATATATCTTTTTGGTTAGGTCTCTGTTAAAGTCGTTGCCCATTTTAAATGCTGTTTCTGTTATTTTGAAGCTTTAAGAATACTTTGCAAACTTTAGATAATAGTTCTTTATTAGACATCTTTTGCAAGTATTGTACTCCATTTGGTTGGAAATAATCTTTTTCTTATTCTCCTGAAAGACTTTTGCGGAACAGAAACTTTTAATTTAATGAAATGCAGCTTCTCAATTATTTCTTTCGTGGATATCACCTTTGGTGTTGCAGGTAAAAAGTCATCAAACATCCTATAATGTAGCTTTTTGCCTATTTATCTTTTAGGAGTTATATAGTTTAGAATTTTACATTTGGGTATCTGGTCCATTTTCAGGTAATTTTTGTGAATATTTTAAGGTCTGTGTCCAGTACTTTTTTGTTGGTATGGGGATATCAGGGTATTCTAGCACCAATTTTTTAAAAAAATATTATAATTTTTCCATTGTATAGCCTTTGCTCTTTTGTTGAAGATTAAATATAGTTGACTATATTTATGTAGGTCTATTTCTGGGCTCTCTATTCTGTTCCATTGATCTATTTGGCAATTCTTTTTGACATCATTGCACTGTATTTATTATTTTAGCTTTATCCATGCCTACTACTTTTTTCAAAAAGCAATTCCATGTAATTTTATCCATGTAACTAAATTGTCTCTGCCTAAATATATAATTTAAAATACACAAGAACAAAGTTTTTTTCTTATTTGAGTTCTGAATCAATGGAAAAACATCTATGTATAATTGGTAGGCATATAAATTCTGGATCCTTAGTATTTATTTGCCTGAGAGAAGCTCAATTTTATTGAAAGCATCAACTTTTCTCATACTCATTGGCACTGACTTAATTATCTGTATCACTTACTGGCAAGACCAGCATCTACTGATCAAACTTAAAAGATAGAAATACCATCACCAGAGTAGACTGGGAAGTAATTAGAGTGGAATTATTTTTCTTGAGAGGCTAATTAAACAGCACACTCTAAAGCAGAACATATCAGTGATATACTTTTATATGTGTGGTTATAAATTCCAAAACCTTAAGGGTCTAGTATTGAATCTTTTTCTTTTAGTCCTTAGGATTTCTGCACTATATGAAAAATATTTTAAAAACAAAACATGAGCTAAATATGAATTAGAATAGAAATTGTGCAGTAACATAGCATTTATATTGTTCTATCATATTGTAACCACAAAATATTTATTGCTTTTAACAATAGAATAACCTAAATTTTTTTCAGCATTTATTCATTTTGTTCTTATAAGGTCAATTTTTCTAAATGACACCTTCTTTCTCTATCAAGAGAATTAGGCAATTATTACCCAGTAGGTGTTTGGTAGTAATCAACCATAGAGTTTTGAAAATGCAGACAAATTATCTTGAAATGACTGATTTCAAACACATCACGCTCACATTGGGTGCTCATTGAAAAATGTCACAGACAGAAATGGGGCAAGGAAGGGAGATACACTTGGGAGACAAGAAACTTGTACAAAGTGTACATTTCTACCTCCAGAATTTAGCTGTTAGCTAATGATTAACTTGAATGATGCCCATGCAAATATATATTTATTCAAACTTTCTCCATTTAGAGAAAAGTTCCCTTACACCGTTTTCCAAATTTATCTTCCCACAGTCGATACAAAAGGGGATCAGTTGGCAGGCCTGCTTATTTAAGTGGTACCTTAGAGTCCTAACATCCCCGAAGAAGACTATTCTTATTTTCCAGGTGCATATATAGTAGGACATTTTGTTGCTCTCATCTTCTATCATAAGGCAAGACATCACTTTAGGTAAAACTAAAAAGGAATGCTTCAGCAATATTCCAAACCCTTGCCACATGCCTAGAGCTTCCTCCGACTCATTCCAGTCTAATGGACTCCTGAATAAAAACTCTTTTTCACAAACAAATTGCTACTAGGTACGAATTTGCTCATATCCTGCCTGACTTGCCACACAAAAACTCAATCTCTATGTAAGGAGATAAAGAATATTTTCTTTCACAGAATTCTGCTTAGGAAGGGAACTCTACTTGTAGAATAACAGTGACAGTTTCTCAGTTGTTTTCAAGAGATAATAGAGGTGACCTGTGCAATGGAGGATGATCGGTGGTTGTTCTCTGTAATGCCATTGCTCTCTGCAGATACTGTGTCTTCAGTAAAACTACTGAGCTCATTAAATGCTTGGGTATGATAAAATTTTCAAAAATATTGAATGATTTCTAGGAGGCAACTAAGGCAGACTAAGGGATGTGGAATGTAGTGACAGAGGGAAACTGGAGAGGGAATTCTGGAAATTGGAATTCTTTTGATAGGCAGTGACTTTTACTTTTGTTCTTCACTCACCTTGGCAGATTTTAAAGTATCTTTCTTACTATCTGGAAATAGGATCTTCACCTGTACTACTTACTACATTCCACCACTTGCCTCCATCTCAAAAACCTTGCTCTATCAAGTATCATCTTTCTCTCCCAAATTTTTAATTGCTCTCTCAGTCCTGGCTCTTTTTCTTGAGTGCATGAAAATGCCTAAGTCAGCTGCATTTACAAAAATGTCCATAATTTTAAGTTTGAAAATTTTTACAATAACAAGGAAGGAAGGGAGGGAGAAAGAGTGGCAGTGAGTGAGGGATGGATGGATGGAGGGAGGAAAAAAAGAAAAAGGAAAGGAAAGTGAAAGAGAGAAAGAAGAAACCATCCTTTTATGTTGCATGTCCTTCTGTCTACTACTACACTCTTTTTGAAACTCTTCATCCAATTCTCTTGAGTTGTCTCTAATCAAAACACTTCTTAATCCTCTACTTCTTGTGGTTCGGTGTGCAGTTTGGCTTTTTTTTTTTATCTCTACAACATTTGATATTGTTAATTCCTGCCTTCTTGAAAGTCTGCCTGTCTTTGTAAATTGGTAGGGTGGAGGGTGTGAAGAGAGGGTAGGGGCAATGGGGAAAAATAAGAACCAAGATATGTTATATAAAGGTACAAGATCCCAATGATTAATGTAATTGTAAGTA